TTACTTGCTTAGGATCTTACAGTCAGTAAATGTGGGACTGGGATTGGAACCTTGATTGGCCTCTGCCAAAGCCACATACCATTTTCTTTATGACACTGCCGGTGATACTGTCCAGGCCTGCTTGTGAGCCTTCACTGGAAACCCACTTGCTGGTCAGCCTTGGCCATTCCTGTCCACTTCCCCCTGGACAGTGCTCCCTCATGCATTTCCCCATCCTCCCAGTGTTCAGCTTCTGCATCTCTGCTTCTCCTCCTTCCTCTCTGTCTCAGAACTTCATAAAATCTCTTTCACTCTACATGTTTTCCACACAACTCCACATTACAATCTACCTTCTCCCATAACTATGCACTGAAGCCATTTCAGTCAGGCAGGGATTCTTAGACCCCTTTTCCTAGCACTGGAAATAACTTATAAGAACTAATTACCATGCCCTGCATGTATATTAATATTACCTCATTCACTTCTCAAAAACACTTGGTTAAGATATTATTATTTTTCTATCATTTACATATGAGAAACCTAAGGCTCAGAAACTTTATGTGCCCCTGCCTTGCTTGGGATCACATAGGTAAGTAGCAGAGCTAGATTGGAATCCAGGTTGGACTTACTGCCAAGCTCATGTTCCTGCCCCACCCTACACCGGCCCCATTGCCTCCCACTGACGCTTCTTCTCCAGGGGCTCCAGGGAGAATCAGCTGGCAAGTTAGATTAACAAGAAATCCTAACAACAACAAAACTTCAAATTTTGTTTGTAAGATTTGAAGACATACATTTGCTAAGGACAAACACATGTCTGTAACCTACCGTTAAAACTCCTCTCTCTGAATAGTCTTAATCTATTAAAAGATTGCTTAGTGTTGGTGAATGCAAAACACGATATCCATTGCAGGCACAAAAAGGTGTGATGCCTTTCCTTACCCATAAGGGTCACAGCTGGGATTCTTACAACAACAGAAAAGCTTAACAAGGCAAAGCATAGCATATTCGTTTAATCCAAGTTTTTATAGCATGGGAATCTTCAGAATGAAGACCCAAACACACAATGACACTGTCCACTGTTAGACTTAAGTGGATGAAGACTGTACAAAATAAAATGTGACTGAATAAACAGGGAAAGATCCGATAGTAATAGACTATAGGGGAAACCCCATAAGGCCTTCAGTTTGTATTTTCCGTGGCCTCTCTGTGTGGCTTTTCTTGCTCCTGGGCATGGGGCCACATCCCTCTGGAATGTGGATCTGAGGACCTACTATCAGACAGAGTAGATCCTAGAATTGCTTTTTTTTTGTTCTTTCTTTTTTTGAGACCAAAGTTTGCTTCTGTTTCTTAGGCTGGAGTGCAATGGAGCAATCTCGGCTCACTGCAACCTCTGCCTCCTGGGTTCAAGTGAGTCTCCTGCCTCTGTCTCCTGAGTAGCTGGGATTACAAGCACCAGCCACCACAACCAGCTAATTTTTTTTTTTTTTTTTTTTTTTTTTTTTTTTTTTTTTTTTTTAGTAGAGACAGGGTTTCACTGTGTTGGCCAGACTGGTCTCGAACTCCTGAGCTCAAGCAATCCGCCTGTCTCGGCCTCCCAAAGTGTTAGGATTACAGGCCTAGGATCTGCTGGGTGTAAGCAGCAGAATTTCTTTATGGACAGCTCCTACAAAGAAAGACCCGGGGGGAGGGGAGGGCTATATTTTAGGTTTTATGGCTGTTTGGGGGCAGAGGCATTTCACTTTCTGTGACCTGCCTGGGGGAAGAGAAATTCTAGTTTCTATGGCTTGCCTTAAGGGAGAAAGGAGAGCAGAAGAAAGTAGAGTGGGAGAAGGTCAAACAGATCTCACTTCTAAGGCCCTTTACGTTTCCTTCAGTTCAAAGGACTCAGCATTGCAAGGCACCGTAGTTTGGAATATTGTGTTCTGGGTCCCAACAATATTCGAGTGAACACAGGAGTGGTAAATGCACTGGGACTATGTAATGAAGGATGATCTGTTAGGATTGCATGGGAGGAGGCTTCAGCTGGGTAGCAACACATGGGTAGGATTTGCATAGGAAGAGGGTCTGGGTAAAGGCATTCCTGGTGAACTCCTAGCACCACTACTTCTAGTGGGTAGAGAATCAGAAAGAAGGGTATTGGGGAACAATTGAATATAAGCAGAGGAGTTCCTAAAGTTCTATGTGGGCTCTGGAGCTGCCATTGGTTGGGAGATGAGCCTGTGGGCTTGTCTTAAGGCAAAGCAAGGCTACTGTTTTCACTTAGATTATTTGATTACCTGGAGTGGATTCGAGTGGCTGATAGACATTATGGAAAGACATGAAGCCTCCCTCCTCTCTTTCAAAACAAACTACCCTCTCTTTGGTGGAACAATTGAAATCAGGAGGACAGACGGGAGTACTACAGAGGACAAGCAATGTACCCTTCTTAACGTATCAGAGAGGGGGCGCTGCAGCTTGCAGAGAACAGGATTGCTGGAATTTCTGGTTCAATTCAGTGATCCTTACTCCCATTCCAGACTCTGCTCCAGGTTATCACACAGCATGCATCAGCACCGAGCTACCTCTGAGAGCCAGCATACAGAGTGGGTGAGTGGGAGAGGCCCCAGTGTGCCTGGGGAAACTGAGGCAGGAGACAGGGACATGAACTTGGAAGTTATGTATGCAGGAACAAAGGAATGAGGGCTAGACCTGGGCAGTGGGAATCAGGGCAATGAGAATGAGGAATAGACATGAGACATACTGCCAGTTGGTTGAGCCAGCAGACACTTATCTTGAAAAGGTTCATGAAAACCCATCTTTATGCTATACAGGTTGCCTTTTGTTCAACACTTTCTTCCATGGAAGAAAACCACAACTTGAAACAAGACCCTTCACCACCTGCACTTTCTTCAAAGTGTACATGAGGAGAGACTGACTGTTGAGCCACTGGTGGGACTATCTGATCATATTACTCATTTTTCTAAAGCTCTTCTTCCTTTGCTGAATGACTGGAAGCTCACATCTCTGGTTGGGCATCTTCAGTTCCCCATGTGTGCACACACACACACACACACACACACACACACACAGAGTCTCCTCTCTTCTTTAAAAGTGTTCCGATTCTGCAAAGCAGATCTGCCCTATGATGTCATAAACCATGAAGTCTTGAACCCTCAGGTGGGTTTTTTTCTAAGTAGGCTTTGTTATGAGCAGTACCAGACTAAGTGATACTTGCCCACACATAACGTATTTGGTTCTTATGGCTCTGGGGGCATGTGTGTGTGTGTGTGTGTGTGTGTGTGTGTGTTTGTGAGAGAGAGAGAGGAAGGAGCAGGGGAAGATATACAACACTCCTCGGGAAAGGAGTGCAATTGCTCGTGTCACACAAAAAGTATGCAAACTTTTCCAAGAATTGGGGAGGAATAAGATTTGGCAGAAAAGTAAAGTTATATCCAATCAATCAACCTTGGATGAATTTAAAGATGCTCCTTGCAGTTAGGACTCCAGTGCTGAGACTTAGTCATTATTAGATTTTAATATTAGGCATAACGTCTGGATGCAGTGGTTCACACCTGTGATTCCAGCAGTTTGGGATGCCGAAGCAGGCAGATCACTGGAGGTCAGGCGTTTGAGACCAGCCTGGCCAACATGGTGAAACCCAGTCTCTCCTACAAGTACAAAAATTAGCTGGGCATGGTGGCAGGTGCCTGTAATCCCAGCTATTTAGAAGGCTGAGGCAGGAGAATTGCTTTAACTCGGGAGGAAGAGGTTGCAGTGAGCTGAGATCTTACCACTGCACTCTGGCCCGAGCAACAGAGCAAGACTCTGTCTAAACAAAAAAAAAAAAAAAAAAAAAAAAAAAAAAAATTAGGCATAGAATCTAAGAACAAATTAACCTCAAATTTATTATATAAATGTATATAAAATAAGACGCAAAACCATGTTTTACATCTATCCAAGAAATCTTTGTTCTATTTTATAGGAGCACAAAGATTTTCTTTACAGAATTTTTTATCAGGAAAAAGATTGAAAATAGTCCAAACATCTATGTCCTGTGTCAAAAAAAGGAAAAAAGAAAGAAAAAGTAGGTTTGTCACCATGAACATGGCTCTATAGATTTTTTAAAAATTAAAGTTCAAACAAGGACCAGATTGAATAGGCCAATTTTTATCCTTTAGGACTAAGGATGTTGATACCATCAAGCCTCAGACATCTGTTGAGATTATCGACTACATTTTTCCAATGTCGGCCTACACATGGGGGCCATTCTGAAATATAGTTTCTCCACTCTGTGTTGATGTGAGGAAAAAAAAAAAAAGTTTTATTGCTGGTTTTGAGGGAGACCCAAAGGTGTATCATAGAACACTAGCTTCTATGGCCTGCCTTGAGGGAAGTAGTGGAGCAAGAGAAAGACAGGCAGGAGAAGGTGAGAAAGAGACTTCGCTTCTGTACCCCTTTTAATGTCCTTCAGTTTAAAGTACTCAGTATGCCAAAGAGCCATATTCAGGGCTATCTTTTTCTGTGCCAAGCCAACACCACCAAACCAGAAAGAAGCATAGGTAATCTAAGGCTTCATTCAACCCATCTCTTCCTAGGCTTCTCCTCTATCTCTTCCACCCTGGGAGCATTTTCTTTTATAGAACTAATGCAATTGAGCAGAGAGAGGCTGGCCTATCCAGAGACCAGATAGGATGCCCATATTTTATTTTCAGTTGTGCCAATGTCCTGCATGGGACTCCCAGAATTCACTGGATGCCCCTGGGCACGAGCTTCTTAGGCATGCCATATAATTAATAGCAGTCTGCTTCTATGCAGGTAGGTATCCTGCAAAGAAATTTTGTATGAAATGTGTCTGCATGTTGTACTCACTGTTGCATTGTTTACCCATGTAGTGACCTTCATAAATGGCTCTGCAAAAGTCACAAGGGAGTAATCGAGTTAGCAGGCACTTTGTTCCCCTCCTTTATCAGATTCTGCTCTGATTTGCTATATAAAGTTGTGTAATCACCTGGAAATGTGCACTGTGCTCCCACGTGCTTTTCAAATGCAAATGAGCAGGTTAACAACCCCAGTGTTGCAATGTTCTAGCCTTAAATATATTTGGATAACCCAGCAGAGCCATTTTGCCTTTGGGAACAGGGCAGCTAGCCTATGGCAGCAGGAATCCAACAAGGTCCCTGAGTGCTGAGGCAGAGAGGAGGAGAAAAGAAACAAGAGGCTGGAGATTGCCAAATTCAGCATCCCGCTTGGCTCCTGATTATTGGTGAAACCATCTCTTAGCTCCTAGAGGGAGAGTGTTAGATCATGAAACTAATTACCATCCTTTTCCTCTGCTCCAGGCTGCTACTAGGTTTAACCCAGGAATTACAGTCTGAGGAAATTGACTGCAATGACAAGGATTTATTTGAGGCTGTGGATGCTGCTCTGAAGAAATATAACAATCAAAACCTAACTACCAACCAGTTTGTATTGTACCGCATAACTGAAGGCACTAAGATGGTGAGTGAACTGTGTTTAACCTTGAAGTCACTTGGGATTTGTACTATCACTAGGAGCCCAGGCCACACACACACACACACACACAACCACCACCACCACCACCACTACCACTACCACCAAAGAGGAGATAATCAAAAGTAGATAAAGGTAGAACTTGTGGAAAGACCAATACCACTCTCTGGCCTGGGGAGGGAGGACAGAGTATGACTCATCCTCAGGCAGGCTGGCTTCCTGGATGATCAGAGAAGTAGAATCTAGGGTGAAATGAAACAAAAGTAGATGGAGAAATCTGAATAGGACCAAGCAGAGTGGGAGAATTAGGAATTTAGTTATACTGCACCAAAAGAATTCACTGCGTCTCTGGCCCTAAACTAAAAAATATAGACCTCCAAACCTTAAATGGGAGGGGGTACTTCATGGGGTATGTATAAGAGGAGTCAGGAATTAGATTAGTGTGATTCTACGGAATTAGAAGTCTGCATGGCTGAATGCATCAGGTTTAACACAACGTTTTAGTTGGTTTTTGATATTTTTATTATTGCAATGATTCACTCCAGTAGGAGAAAAATTCTGGCAGAATGCATGGTTCAAAGAAATACCAATCTTTCAAGAGTATGTTTAAATAAATTTCATTATAAAAGACTGTATCTCTGGGACATGTAAGCAACTGGGTGCTTTAGCAGGAAAAAAAAAAAACCACATGAAAACAAGGGGATAAAGAAAAAAACACAGTGGACACATAATTTTTTCTGAAAGTAAAATCAAGCCATTTTGTTTCATAATCTAATATAGTCATGTGAGAAATTCTGCTTCATGGTGATCTCAAACAATTTATTGGTGGTGTGGTTCCCAACAGATTGTGGGTATGATTGTAAATATACTAAAAAACATTAAATTGTATACCTTTAGTGGGTAAATTGTATGGCATGTAAATTACATCTCAATAAAGCTATTTTAAAAAGAAAAAGTAGGCGGGGCATGGCGGCTCACACCTGTAATCCCAGCACTTTGGGAGGCCGAGGAGGGTGGATCATGAGGTCAAGAGATCGAGACCATCCTGGCCAACATGGTGAAACCCATCTCTACTAAAAAATACAAAAATTAGCTGGGCGTGGTGTTGCACGCCTGTAGTCCCAGCTACTCGAGAGGCTGAGGCAGGAGGATTGCCTGAACACAGGAGGCGGAGGTTGCGGTGAGCCGAGATCGCGCCACTGCACTCCAGCCTGGCAACAGAGCAAGGCTCCATCACAAAAAAAAAAAAAAAAAGAAAAAAAGAAAAAGAAAACAGAGAAAGTAGGAAACAAAACAAACCAAATAAAAGTACTAAAATCACCTATAATTAGTTCCACCATACAGAGATAACTGTTAACATTTGTTTAAAGTTCTCTTGTTTGCTTTTTCTAATTTGTAAAAGTTATATATGTTCTTCAGGGGGAAAAGACCACTTAGAAATGTTTGCTTGAAGAAGGATATAAAAGATAATTATAATTTCACCACTGAGAGACAAAAATTTTATCAGCTTGCTGCGTGTCTTTCCAGATTTTTAAAAGACATAGATTTATGTATAAACCAGTTTTTACAAAAATGGGCTAATACTATGCATATTGCTTTGTAACCTTTAAAAATACATTGTGAGTATATTATAAATATTCTTTCACATAAATGTTTATGATACAAATATAAATATATTTTAAGTGAATGCTTTGCTCTCAGGTCAAAAAGATCAATATTCCTAACTTTACTGGAACCCACTACAATTATTTGCTATTGGGTCAGTTGGCTGAACCCTAAGTATCTTTGGCTGCTTTTCAGGTTGGCTCTGACACATTTTATTCCTTCAAGTACGAAATCAAGGAGGGGGACTGTCCTCGTCAAAATGGCAAAAACTGGCAGGACTGTGACTACAAGGATGCCGCGGAAGCGGTAAGTGTATTGGCCATTCTCGGGCCTTTGGTTTTCTCTGTTGGCCCTGCCAGATTTTTTACTGATGCAGAAATGATGATTATTGGTGAGCCTGTTTATGAGAAGTCACATAAGTACTCCAAAGTGTAGGAAAGTCAGATGCTTGGCCGGACATGGTGGCTCACGCCAGTAATCCCTGCACTTTGGGAGACCAGTGTGGGTGGATCACCTGAGGTCGGAAGTTCAAGGCCAGGCTGACCAACATGGAGAAACCCCATCTCTATTTAAAAATACAAACTTAGCCAGGTGTGGTGGCAAATACCTGTAATCCCAGCTACTCAGGAGGCTGAGGCAGGAGAATTGTTTCAACCTAGGAGGCAGAGGTGCAGTGAGCCGAGATCGCACCATTGCATTCCAGCCTGGGAACAAGAACAGCACTTCATGTCAAAAGGAAAAAAAAAAAAAAAAGAAAGAAATATCTTAAATATCTCCAGGGCTCCAAACAAAGACTTAAGCTTTAAAACTTCATCAATGAGGCCAGGCATGGTGGCTCGTGCCTGTAATCCCAGCACTTTGGGAGGCCAAGGTGGACAGATCCTGAGGTCAGGAGTTTGAGACCAGCCTGACCAACATGGTGAAACCCCGTCTCTACTAAAAATACAAAAATTAGCTGGGTGTGGTGGTATGCATCTGTAGTCCCAGCTACTCAGGAAGCTGAAGCAAGAGAATCACTTGAACCCAGGAGGCAGAGGTTGCAGTGAGCCAAGATGGCACCACTGCACTCCAGCCTAGGCAACAGAGCGAGACTCCATCTTAAAAAAAATAACAACCTCACCATTTACACTGTGTTTCCTCCAACATCTCATGAATATCAGTGGCTTATATAAAGTAATCATTAGGATACAAAAAAAAAAAAAAAAAACATTTATTCTCATGTTTCAAAACTCTTTTGGGTAAAATCTTCACAATTTTTGTTTGTTTGTTTAAGGAAAGCCACATTTAGCAACAGTACTAGGTAGATGTTCCTATCTGAAAGATTAGACTAAATGATTTCTTTCTTTTCTTTTTAGGCCACTGGAAAATGCACAGCAACTGTGGGGAAGAGGGGGAATACAAAATTCTCCGTGGCTATCCAGTCCTGCCAGATTACTCCAGGTAGCTGGTTTATCCTCTGGCACGGCCCTGGTGGAAAATTAACCATTTCTGTATGCCAGGAACACAACCTTGACCAGGCTCTGCTTGCTCCCAGAGGGTGGCAGTAGCAAAGCCATTTGCAGAGTTAGGGAGCACTGGGTGGAATGGCAGAGCCTGGAGTTTGGGCCAGGCTCATGCCCATCATCCCCTTAGGACTATTCCAACCCTTCTCGCCTGCTACATCATATCCGGTGTGTGCAAGGGCTCTACAGAAGGACCAGAAGACACAAGACCTGCCCTGCGCTGTAGGCAGCATCCCAGAGTGAGGAGCACATAGGCTTTGAGGGCAGACCTGTGCTGGAATCTTTCAGAGCTTGGCTCTCCTATTCTTTGTCTAGAAAAGGGAGGTGACAGTACTTCCTACTTCACAGGACTGTTGTGAGGCTGAGATGAAATGATATGCCTGAAGGTATAATCAAAATAACATATTGGCCGGGCGCAGTTGCTCATGCCTATAATCCCAGCACTTTGGGAGGCCGAGGCAGGTGGATCACAATGTCAGGAGTTCGAGACTGGTCTGATCAATATGGTGAAACCCTGTCTCTACTAAAAATACAAAAATTAGCTGGGCATGGTGGCAGGCACCTGTAGTCCCAACTACTAGGGAGGCTGAGACAGGAGAATCGCTTGAACTCGGGAGGTGGAGTTTGCAGTGAGCAGAGATTGCACCACTGCATTCCAGCCTGGGCAACAGAGTGAGACTCTGTCTCAAAAATAAATAAATAAATAAATAAATAACATATTAACATATTAATCATAATAACATATTATCAATAATCAGGATAAAAATACCTAACATTTACTGAGTATTTATGTATCAGCCATGATTGTAAGCACCTTACATGTATTAACTTCTTTTTCTTTTCTTTTCTTCTACTGATACATAATATTTTACATATTTATGAGATACATGTGTTTTTTGCATGCATAGGACATGTAATGATCAAGTCAGGGTATTTGGGGTATCACCTGGAATATTTATCATTTCTATGTATTGGTAATATTTCAAGTCCTCTCTTCTAGCTACGTTGAAATATACAATATATTGTTGCTAACCATAGTCACCTTTGTCTGCTATATAGCATTAGAACTTATTCTTCTATCTAACTATAATTCAGTACCTATTCACCAACCTCTTCATTTCCCCCTTCTACCCCTGACCCTTCTCAGCCTCTGGTATCTGTCATTCTATTCTCTTCTCTATTTCCATGTGATTAAGTGTTTTAGCTTACACATATGAGTGAGAACAACGTGCAGGTTTGTCTTTCCATGCGTGGGCTGTTTCATTTAACAACCTCCAGTTCTGTCCATGTGGCTTCAAATGAGATGATTTCATTCTTTGTTTATGGACAAATAGTATTTCATTGTGCATATTTACCACATTATCTTTTCTTTTCTAATTTTATTTATTTATTTTTTTTGAGATGAAGTCTCTCACTGTTGCCCAGGCTGGACTACAGTGGCACGATCTCAGCTCACTGAAACCTCCCAGGTTCAAGTGATTCTCCTGCCTCAGCCTCCTGAATAGCTGGGATTATGGGCGACTGCCACCACACCCAGCTAATTTTTGTATTTTTAGTAGAGACGGGGCTTCACCATGTTGGCCAGACTGGTCTCGAACTCCTGGTGATTCACCCACCTCGGCCTCCCAAAGTGCTGAAATTATAGCTGTGAGCCACCGTGCCCGGCCCCCAACATTTTCTTTATTCATTCATCCTTTGATGGACACTAAGGTTGATTTCATATCTTTGCTTTTGTGAATAGTGGTGCAACAAACACGGGAGTGCAGGTCTCCCTTTGATAGACTGATTTCTTTTCCTCTGGGCAGATGCCCAGTAGCTGAGCTACTGGATATATGGTATTTGATGTTTTCAGCTTTTGAGGAATCTCCATACAATTTTCCATAGTGGTTGAGTGGTTGTACTAATTTACATTCTTACCAGCAGTACATAAGAGTTTCCTTTTCTTTTCGTGATTTTCTTTTTTTTCTTTCTTTTTTTTTTTTTTTTTTTAGACAAGAGTTTTGCTCTTGTTGCCCAGGCTGGAGTGCAACAGCACAACCTCGGCTCACTACAACCTCCATCTCCCAGGTTCCAGCGATTCTCCTGCCTCAGCCCTAAGTAGCTGGGATTACAGGCATGTGCCACCACGCCCAGCGAATTTAGTACTTTTGGTAGAGATGGTGTTTCTCCATGTTGGTCAGGCTGGTCTCAAACTCCCAACCTCAGGTGATCCACTCATCTCGGCTCCCTAAAGTGCTGGGATTACAGGCATGAGCCACCGCGCCCAGCTAGTTCTCTTTTCTCCATATCCTCCTGGCTGTGTTTGACTCTTACATGGCAGGCAGCAAGAGCATGGTGGGTGCAGAAGCCCAGGCTCCAGGGGTCCCTCCGTGTGTGCCGCTCGCTCTGCAGCTACATTCCCCTTTTTATGGAGTTTGCCTCTATTGACCAGTAGGTTAGGGCTACCTGTTACAAACATTACTTGGTAATTGAATACAAACTTTTAAAAATAATAGTCATTCCAGCTGGGTGAGATGATATCTCATAATGGTTTTGATTTCCATTTCCCTAATGCTGAGTGATATTGGGCATTTTTTCATATACCTGTTGGCCATTTGTATGTCTTCTTTTAAGAAATTCTTGCTCAGATCCTTTGTCTACTTTTTATGAGATTACTTGTTTTTTTTAACTGGTGAGTTGATTGAATTCTTTGTATATGCTGGATGTTAGTCCCCTGTGGGATGAATGATTTCCAAATATTTTCTTTTTCTTTTCTCTTTTTTTGAGATGGAGTCTTGCTCTGTCACCCAGGCTAGAGTGCAGTGGAGTGCTCTCAGTTCACTGCAACCTCTGTCTCCTGGGTTAAAGCGATTCTCCTGCCTCAGCCTCCTGAGTAGCTGGGATTACAGGCATGGGCCACCACACTCAGCTAATTTTTGTATTTTTAATAGACAGGGTTTCACCATGTTGGCCAGGCTGGTCTTGAACCCCTGACCTCAGGTGATCCACCCACCTTGACCTCCCAAAGTGTTGGGATTACAGGCGTGAGCCACCACACCTGGCCTCTTCTGTGTTTAGGGCAATGTATGTGAATGCTGATTGTGATCATTAATGCTGTCTTTTTGTCTGCCCTTTGTTAAGCCGATGGCCCTGTGATGACAGACCAGTATTACTGCCTTGGCTGTGTGCATCCTGTATCAACAAAGAGCCCAGACCTGGAGCCCATTCTGAGACACGGTGTTGAGTACTTTAACAACAACACGAATCATTCCTCCCTCTTCATGCTTAGTGAAGTAAAACGGGCCCAAAGACAGGTTTGCCCTTTAATTCTCTATGTCACACAGTATTACCAAAATTTATTAGATCTTTACATTTAAAATGTATGATTGCATGGCTGGTGGTGTTCTCACCTGACTAGCACAGGACGTGAAGGGCTTTCTCATTCATCAAAGTGAGTAGAACAGTGTAATACGTAAAGTGAGAAAAGATGGCTAATCAGACCCCCTTCCTTTGACGTTTGATTTTAACAAATGGGTAATCGTCATTACAGCCTCTTCCTAGAGACATTGAAAAGGAAAAGTCATACTGGGCTTATGATTTTAAGAAAACTAGCCAAGGCAGTGGCTCACGCATGTAATCCCAGCACTTTGGGAGGTTGAGGTGGGCGGATCACCTAAGGTTGGGAGTTTGAGACCAGCCTGACCAACATAGAGAAACCTCATCTCCACTAAAAATACAAAATTAGCCAGGTATGGTGGTACATGCCTATAATCCCAGCTACTCAGGAGGCTGAGGCAGGAGAATCACTTGAACCCAGGAGGCGGAGGTTGTGGTGAGCCAAGATCATGCCATTGTACTCCAGCCTGGGTAACAAGAGCAAAACTCCATCTCAAAAAAGAAAAAAAAAA